TGAAGGTGAAGGAAGGAAAGGAGTGGGAAAGGCAAAGAGGTCAGATGTGAATGTGAGGTAAAGGGTCAGAGGTCAGATATGAATATGGGAGCCCCCTCCACCCCCACCCTAGGGCAAACCTAAAGACCCTGGAGCTAGAGGGGAGTCGGGAGTACTAGGAATGAGTGGATAAATATGGGAGAACCTGGTGCAGAAGGACTTGTTTCTTGCTCTCCAGAAAAGAGTAGCTCAGGAAAATTTCAAGCATCTGAGCCCCACAACAATGTGAAATAACCACAGGGCAGTAGAAGTGGTGGCAAAATACTGTTAGGTAGAGAAAGCTCTGAGGAACCACCAAGCCGGACTCCCTGTGGTGGTCAAGTGGTGTGGAAGAAATTCCCAAAGTCCCACACGACCCGGAAGGGACACACCAGGACTGGGAGGTAGGGAGGCCTCGTCTTTTGGGGAAGACGGCTGAAATCTCCAGGTGCAATGCCACTCCCTTCCTCCAGCCTGTTCCTGTGTCCTGGGGTCATCCAGGGGAAAGAAAGGAGGCAGACCCTGGAGAAAACCCTGCAGGGGGTAGTTTTAAACCAGCCACAGGACTCTTCCCCCCCACCCCGCATCTGTGAGCCAGCATGTTAGACATGCAATAGCTTCCTTATCAGAGTAATATGGGGAGACTCACTGAGTTTTAGAGCTTGAAGGAGCTTAAAAGATTGCTTTGCCCCCTGCTCTCATTTGACAAGCAGGGAAGCTGCAGCCCAAGGTGATAAAGTGAGCTGGCCCGTGTTTGGAGCTCACAGCAGACGTGGTGACGCCCACTGGCTCACCTTAGCTGGGTCTTTGGTAGTACTTAATGGTCCCAGCCTCCTAGTGCTCATCAGAACATAAATTCTTCCCCTGGGTTTGGATGCTGTGCAAGGTGCCCAGAATACCTTTAGGCTGACTGAGCTGCTGTCACCTCCAGAGCATCCAGGAACACCTGACATTGTATACTGGTTAACAGTACAGGAAGAGAACCACCGTGAGACAACCTTCAGAAGCACAGGTGTCAGGAATCATGAAGACACTTTACAGCAGAACCGCCCAACAGAACCTTCCACAATGTTGGGAATGTTCAATATTGGTGGCCACTGGCTGGCTACTGAGGCTACTGAGCACCAGAAATGTGGCTACTATGACTGAGGAGCTGAATTTTAAATTGTATTTAGTTTGGCAGATAAAAACTTCTATGTACAGAAGAGATAAACAATAAGGTCCTGTGGTATAGCACAGAGACCATATTCAGTGTCTTGTAGTAACCTATAATGAAAAAGAATGTGTATATATACGTATAACTGAATCACTATTCTGTACACCAGAAACTAATATGCTGTAAATCAACTATACTTTAAAAAAGGGAGAAAAATTTGTATTTAATTTTAATTAAATTTAACTTGTATTTAAATAATCACACGTGACTATATGGACATGGTACTGGACAGTATGGCTCTACAATGTTCATAAAAATAAGGTTCCTCTTCTTTCTTTCATCACAGTTCCAGCAAATTGGTTTAGACTGATCATTTCTGGCCTACATACTGATGTTCTCCTCAGATCTCTTATTCCCCGATTCATAAGGAGACAGTCCTTTACACTGTGCCAAAATAGTAGTCATTCTCTGGAAGGCCAAACATGCTTCTTTGATTGCTGAAGGCTGAGGATTAATCTTAGTCTCAGGGCAAAGACTTACTGGTATTATTTATTTCTTTAATTTTTTAAATTTACTTTCACTGTGAGTCATCAAATAATTTCTAATTTTCAAAATTAAATTCAGTTTTGTAGTCATATTGTCAACTTTAGTAGCTTTAACCTCTAAGTAATGTTTCCCTAATTTCTTTCCCATTTCAAATGACATTTGGTCTTTAAAACTACTATATTCATTACCTACTGCTATGTAACAAATTATCATGACTTAAAACATCACCAGTTCCATTATCACACACTTTCTGGGGGTTGAGAACCAGGGCAGAGCTTGGTGGGATCCCCAGGCACAGAGAATCTCACAAAGATGCAATCAAGAGGTCAGAGGGTACTGCAGTCATCTCAAGGCTCAACTGGAGGAGGGTCTGCTCCCAAGCTCCCTCCTATGGAGGTCGGCAGGCCTCGGGTCCTGGCTGACTGATGACTAGAAGCATCTGTTCCTTGCCATGTAAGACTCTTGATGGTGCCACTTACAACCTGGCATCTGGCTGGTGGCTGCACTCAGCTCCTTACAATGTGGGACTCTTCACAGAGCAGCTCCCAACATGGCATCTTGCTTCATCAGAGAGAAACCAAGAAAAGCCACAGAGAGATGGGGGAGAGAACCAATCTTTTGTAATCTAATCTAAGAAGTGACATCCCTGCACTTTCACTGTATTTTATTTGCTAGAAGCAAGTCCTTGGGTGCCGCCTGCACTCAGCAGGAGGGGATTAGACAAGAGGGCACCTACTAGAAGGCAGGGGTCATCGAGGACCATCTGGGAAGCTGCTCTCCACAGCTACTTCAGAGAGGGCTCTTCTCCTAGCTGACCTCGTCTACCTTGAATCTCAGCTTCAGGCTCAGCTCTGCCCAGAGAAAGAATGTGGGTGAATCCAAGGTCGCCCAACTAGACAGTGGGAGAACTAGAACTGGACTCCAAGTCTCCCAAGTTCCTGATTAGTCCTCTGTTGTCTTTTGTACGTGAGACTTAGCACTCCAGCACAGGCACACAGAGGCCAAGCAAAAGCATTTTGACTTCAAAAAACAGGTACTAAGGTTTTTAAGCTGGAGAGTGTAAAACCAGAGGTGATTTTAAAGGAAGATTAGGGTGAAGAGCCAAAACAATCTTGAAGAAGAAGAGCAGAGCGGGAGGGATCACACTCACTGATTTCAAGCTATACTACAAAGCTGTATTAAGAAGGCAGTGTAGTACCAGCACAGCAACAGACATACGGCGCAATGGAACAGAACTGAGAGCCTGGAAACTAACCCACTCACATATGGACAATTAATCTATGACGAAGGAACAAAGAACATACCATGGAGAAAGGACAGTCTCTATGGTGTTGGGAAAACTGGACAGCCTCATGTAAAAGAATGAAACCAGACCACTATCTTACACCATACACAAAAATTAACTCACAATAGATTAAAGATTTGAATGTAAGATCTGAAACCATAAAATTCCTAAAGGAAAACATAGGCAGTAACTTCAATGACATCAGTCTCAGGGATGTTTTTGTGGATCTGATTCCAAAGGCAAGGAAAACAAAAGCAAAAATAAACAAATGGAATACATCAAACTAAAAAGCTTCTGCACAGTGAAAGGAAAGGCAATCTACCAAATGGAAAAAGATATCTGTAAATTATATGTTTGATGAGGGGTTAATAATCAAAATATATAAAGAACTCATACAATGCAACAACAAAAAACAAACAACCCAAATAAAAATGCACAGGGACTTTGAATAGACATTTTTTCAAAGAAGACATACTGATGGCCAACAGACACGTGGAAATATGCTCAGCATCACTGATCATCAGAGAAATGCAAATCAAACCACAATGAGCTATCACCTCAGACCTGTTAGAATGGCCATCATCAAAAAGACAACAAATAATAAGTGTTGGCACAGATGTGCACTGTTGGTGGGAAGGTAAATTGGTACCACCACCATAGAAAATAGTATGAAAGTACCTCAAAAAATTAAAAATAGAACTACCGTATGATCCAGCAATTCCATTTCTGAGTATTTTTATGAACAAAAGGAAAATACTAATTTGAAAAGATACATGTACTCCCATGTTCACCGCAGCATTATTTACAATATCCAAGATATTAAAGCAACCTAAGTGTCCATCAGTAGATGACTGGATAAAGAAGATGTACAGAATAAGATAGGATATTATTCATCCATAAAAAATAATGAAATCTTGCCATTTGTGACCGTATGGATGAATCTTGTATTAAGTAGGTGAAATAAGTCAGACAGAGAATGACAAATACTATATTAGTTCACTAATTTATGGAATCTAAAAAATAAAACAAATGAACGTAACTAAACAGAAACAGTCATAGAGACAAAGAACAAACAGGTGGTTGCCAGAGGGAAGGGGTCAGAGAGAGGAAAGAGGGAGAGATTAAGAGATACAAATTTTCAGTTATAAAGTAAGTCAGGGGGATGCATTATACAGTGTAAAGAATGTGGTCAATAACACTGTAATAACTTTGTATGGGGACAGGTGGTTACTAGAAAATGTGGTGATTGTTTCATACTGTATTTAAATGTGGAATCGCTATGTTGTATACCTGAAACTAATATAATATTGTATGTCAGGTATTTTTCAAGAAAAAAGAAAGATTAGGGTGATGACTGTAAAATGGACTGCAGAAGGAAAGACTGGAAATTATATTAATTCCTATTTATTTATAATTAGCATTTTTATGATCTATAGTTTTGTATTTTATTATTATAAAGACATCCTATGTTTTCATAAGTCCTAATACAATGGTCTTTGAAAGGTAATTTAGGTCAAAAATATTTCAGGTAAAACACTATATTGGAAAGTCTATGACCAAATTTTATGTTATAACACACAATATTTTCACATGTGTACAATGATTTAAACTCTAAAAGTTACTTCCAGTGAAATTTCAGAGATGATATTTTCTACTAAGATCAGAAGCCCCTGGGACAATGAGGACTTGAAAACTGAGAAGAAATTGTAGTCAATAAAAAGTATTGCCCTAGCACAGGGAAGTATATTCAATATCTTGTAGTAACCCATAATGAAAAAGAATATGAAAATGAATATATGTATGTATATGTATGACTGAAACATTATGCTGTACACCAGAAATTGACACAATATTGTAAACTGACTATACTTCAATAAAAAAAAATACATGACATACATGAAAAAAAAAGTACTGCCCTGTTAAGCCTCCACCTCCAGCCCTGACAATACACAGCATTTAAATGAACAGTATGGGGTAGCAAAGTCTTCTACTTACCCATCCAAATTCACCCTTGTCTTCTTCCTTCAGGAGTAAATTTTGTGAGGTTTAGCTGGGCATACAGCCTAGTTAAGACTACATTTCCCAGCCTCTGTAACAGTTACGTGCAGCCATTAAGATTAAGTTCTGTCATTTGCGGCAAGATGGTTGGACTTAAAGATCATCATTCTAAGTGAAGTAAGCCAGAAAGAGAAAGAAAAATACCATATGATATCACTCATATGTGGAATCTAAAAAAAAAGGACACTATGAACTCATCTACAAAACAGAAACAGACTCACAGACATAGTAAACAACCTTACGGTTACTGGGGAGAGGGGGTGGAAAGGGATAAATTTGGGAGTTTGAGATTTACAAATGTTAGCCACTATATATAAAAATAGATTTTAAAAAAAGTTTCCTCTGTATAGCACAGGGAACTATGTTCAATGTCTCGTAATGACCTTTAATGAAAAAGAATATATGTATGTATATGCATGACTGGGACATTGTGCTGTACTTCAATTAAATAGATAGATAGACAGATAGATAGATAAAACATAATAAATAAATAAATAAATAAATAAATAAATAAATAAATAAACAAACAAACAAACAAACAAAGTTCTGGCCAGTAGGGTATGAGTGGAAGGGATGTCAGTCATTCCTAGTTGTGTCCTTAATGGAAAAGGTATGTGCCCCCCCACCCCACCCCTTCTGACTGGTTGGTATGCAGATGTGCTGACAGGAGCTGGGAGCAGTCAGAAATGAAAACAGCCTTGGACCATCTATCTCTGGAAATTTCCATGGTCAAGTTCTTTCTTGCGTAAGCCACTGAGCTTTGAAGTTCCTCTATTACAGCAGTTTATACTACAACTTGACTATGACGATAACATTTCCACCTTTACCTTGGTTCTCTACCCAAAGGAATAACAGACAGGTGCCTAGGCAACAGTGATAGGAAAAGGAATGTTATCAGCCCATATTCAATTATTTTTATTCTCCCCTACTTACCTGTGAAGCTACGAGGATCGAAGTGACAGCAGCAAACCCTTAGCTTTTCTTGCTGTTTGACTTCACTGCCACTTTTTATGTGCCAACAGTTAGAGAAGCAATAGTATCATAAGCTCAGATTTGGTAATGAACCAAGTGTGATTTTAAGTTTCAATCTCTCAGGTTTGACCAGGGTCAGGGACTAGAGATCCAGTTAGTTTTGTGCTGATAAATTTAACCACTGGCTCTCTAGGGGAAAACAAGCCCCGACGAGCAGGGCTTGCCAATTTCCATGGTGTAAATTCTCCCACCACGGCCAGTTTCAAGCTAGTAGTATGACACCCCTAAACAAAGCCCAGAAGAAATGTTGACAATTGCACAACTGCACCTTGCTAGCTAATACTCGCTGGCTCCAGAACATTGGATTCTGTCCATCTGCTACCTGAGCCTGGGACCACATCTGATTTCCTTTCTTGCTTACTTTCTGGAGGAGGATGCTAAATTTACAGTGATGTGCAGCCGGAACAGTAAAAACAATGTTGGGGGTGGCTCTGATGATCTTTCAACTGCAGCTGGGTCCTTGCCTTCATCTGATCTGTGATGCTCCTGTAGTAACATTTCATCCTTTTGGTTCAAAGCAGTGGTTGGTAAACATGAGTGCACATCAGAAACACAGGGAAGTTTCAGAAACTGGCAATGCCTGAGTTCCAGCTCCAGAGATTCTGATTCAGTTAATCTGGGTTGGGAGTGTTAAAAGCAGTTGATTTTTAGTGTGCAACCAAGGTTGAGAACCACTGATTTAAAGTAATAGATCTCCTATGTATATGATAGAGGGTTGGTTTTATAATTTTTGCTTTTCACATAAAGAGGAAAAGTCAACGTACATGACCTGGTAGAAAGGGAAGAAGCCAATGGCGAGGCCAGGAACATTTCCTTAGTGAAGGGAAGCTGAGGAGAGTAGGTCTGTGCTCTGCCTCCTCTGTAGGTCCTGGAAAGAAACTTACATAGTACCTTTCTGAATTCTTAGAAAACACTAGCGAATCTTCCTTTTTAGCTAGGAATTTAAATAAGCACAGGAAATGCTGAAACGCTAGGAAACTGTCATAGATCACTTAATCAGCTTTGATATTTTCAATCTATAAAAACTGGTATTATTCATCATGAAATCTGGTTCAACTTCTTTCTACCCATATTAGATTTGCATTTATCCTTAGAAGCAGATGCTACATTGACTATGTTCAAAAATCAGCAATTAGGTCATGTATTTTTTGATTGTTAAGTTAACCTCTGAAGTAAGCTGTGATTAGAATTCTACAAACTAACCAAATTGCTAGTTTACCAGTGAATCATTTTCACACAGTACTATTTCATCTAATAATCCATACAAGTCTAAATGCAAACACATGGGTGACGTAATCAAGACAACAGAGATCTGGTTCGGTATGTGGTAAGCCCAGCACGTTGTCAGTGGCTGGGTGGCATGAGATGGAGGATAAATACAGGAGCAGGAAGCCTGGTTCTGAGCTTGACATGGTGCAAGTCTGATGCAGTCTCCTGATCCATAAAAATGGGGACAGGGTGACTTTGGCTTCACCTTTAATATTTTGATAAGGTATCCTGAGACTGGAGCCACCAGTGGTGTCAAAGAGCCAACTAGGTGGGAAAAACCAAATGGGGTCTTTCCCCTAGGTTTCACAGACATTGATAAACTCTGAGAATGAATGTGTATTTCCAGATTATTTTTTCTGAGTTTATATTCCTTCTAAGTCAGATGTTGCAAATGCATTTCATCTCCAGGACCAGTCTCATTTGACTGGTAGTGGCCTCCCAAAGCACTGTGTTGAGGTTTCTGAACCAGATCCAGGTGGGTGTAAGAATGCCACGATTGACAGGTGGTGATCACCTTGGGACTCAAAAGGGGGAAATGGCAATACACATGCCCTAGGTCCCATCCCTGTTTCCGGTCTTTTCCTTTACACTAGTGTTTCCTTCATCCCCTACTAGGTACTTCTGAAGTGAAATGAATGTTGGGACTCTGTATCTGCCTACTTTCTACCAGGAAAATTTATTCCATTGTTAAAGTGATAATGGATGTGAAGGTAGTTCAACCAAAACATTTAGCTATTGAGTCTTTGATAAGCAGCTTCAATTATGTTACATCCTCATTTTTTTTTTAACTGAAGTATAGTTGATTTACGTTTCAGGTGTACAACAAAGTGATTCAGTTATACATCTACATATTTATGTCTGTTCTTTTTCAGATTCCTTTCTATTATAGGTTATTACAAGATAGTCAGTAGAGTTCCCTGTGCTGTAGAGGCAGTCCTTGTTGTTTATTTAGTTTACATACAGCAGTATGTGTGCCTGTTAATCCCAAATCTTGATAATGATCGAACAACCGTCAGGTAACTCACTTAAACAACTAGTCTAGTTAAAGGGAAAAACCCTTGTATTTAATATTGTTTTGGCTAAAACAAAAACATGCTTTTTGATCCTTCTACTTTTAAGCCAATCCCATTAGACAGAGTGTAAGAAATAAAAGAAATCATGACCTTCCTTCTCCTCCACCTCCTTAGGTCTGGATGGCTGTGGTTTTCTCTTTAGGGCAGGTGATTCCACAGCATGATCTGAAAAGTAATTAACTATGTTAGAAGTTAATCCAGCACATACTTTGAAGCAGAAGTAATTCTATCCCTAAGAGTTGTTGGCAGACTGATTCATCCTTCCGGCTCTCGAAACTATAGGTAGTAATTGCCCCAGAATTTAAAAATTATCTGGGGAATTCCTTGTTCCACATTTAGGGTACAAACAACTAATGACTTTGACATTTTGGTGTGTGTGTGTGTGTGTTGTGGGGAGGGACAGATAGCAGTGTCTTGAGAATCACCATATGGATAAGAAAGCTGTCTCTTCTCACTATAAAGACCTGAAACACCCTTATTTGACCAGACTGTAAAACTGAGTTTCAAAATTAGTAAATTGACGGTGTGTTTGCATGTGCATTTGTAGAGTGAAATCCCTGCAGGATACATCTTCTCAGAGTGCATGCTCATACACTCAGGAACTCTGGGTACAGATTTGCTACTTTCATGTTGGTTTGGGTATGCCATTACTGTTTGTAAAACAGTGTTGTGAAACTATCTTCAGGAAAGCAACTTGGCTTATAAATTATCCACTCATTGTCTTGATCAAAAGATTATACTTTTACACTGTTCTCATATGCCTTTGTTTTATGCCTGTTGTCTTGATTTGGTCATTAGACTATGCTCTGCACACCACCCTTCCTAAACTTGCTAAATTCCCTGAGATTGAGAGGTGGGTCAGGCCCTCTATCAATGTCTTCCATTGTCTCCAACTTTACAGCCTCCTGCCACACTGTACACACAAAGAAGCCCTCACTGAAGGGTCTGTGAACTATCACGATGGTTGTATGTAGTTTATATTCTTTATACTCTGTCCCTCTTCAGAAACTGGAGACGGTTCAATTGGGATTTTCAGGTATCCATCAATCAGTATAAATCCTTGAATTGTCAAGCAGTCTTCAATATCTTAATGGTTTGAAATAACTGAAAGTAACTGAACCAAAAAATTATTCCCAAACTGGAGCTATGTCTCCATTTTGGGGATAATTAAAGGAATCACTCAAAAAAAAAAAAAGAAAAAAGAAAAAAGAAAAGAAAAGAAAAGAAAGAAAGAAAAGAAAAGAAAAGAGAAAAAGAAAAAAGACTGCATTATTTACTTATGGAAGAAGAAAACCAAAAAGTTAGCCCTTTCTCTCAAGTTGGTTGCAGTTTGGCTGGAGAAGACAAGATTAGAAAACACACACACAAGGTGTTTGCTGGCTAAGTCCTCATATTGCTCCATAAGTTACAGGATCATGACCCACTGATTATGAGTGAAGGCATTAGGTATGAGGTGAATTAAGCCAGGTGTCCAAGGAGAACAAGTTTTGGAAAGACAGAAGGGAGAAGGGCAGACTTTCCCAGTGTGGCGTTGACAGGGGCAAATGCATGAAAATAACCAGTGCGGTCCATGAGGCGGTCAGCCTGTCTGCAACAAGAGGCTGGAAAATCGTGGGAATTACATAAATTTGATAGAAAGGGGCCCATTTATGTTGGGACTTTAGAGCTACCTTCAGAAGCTTGTGGTTAATATAATAGAAAATATGGAGCCACTAAAGGATTTTGACCTAGGAAGTGACATTAAAAATAATGTTTTCAGACTCTATTCCTGGCAGTGATATATAGGATGAAGACAGACTAGAAACAAGGCATCTAAACTGGCTTGGCAGTCGGGTGAAAAAGGACACTCTGGCCAGGATGGGGGCCGTGGGAACAGAGACTGGAGTTATTTTGAAAGAAAATTCAGGCAGTCTTGATGTCTGGCTAGATGTGGGATGAGGATGGAGGAAGTCGAGGGTGAATGTGAAGGTGGGTGAATGAGAGGGGAGGGGGCCCCATGACAGAACCAGGGAGGGAGAAAGAGGAACTGTTTTTGAACGTGCGGAATTTGAAATGACAGTGAGCAGTGTAAGAAGGTAACACTGCAGGAGAGCGATTTGAGGAAGTCATGAAGTCTTATTTCAAAACCTGAGTCTAAGCCATTTAACTTCACTAACAAGGAGAACAGGACTTGACTCACATGGGTATGGAGCTAATTAACTCTGGTAAGAATGTGAAAGTGTTTTGTACAGCTCTATCCAATGTATGCCTTTGGCATTTTACTATGTGTGCATCTCCTTCCCAGTGGCACGTGATGCAGGAAAGGATATAAACCTTCTGCTCATAAATTGCACTCTGGGGTGTTTTGAGACAGATCGCTTCTGGTGGCAGGGAGACTAGGGGGAAGGCCTGAGCAGTGAAACAGGTAAAAGACTATAATGAGGATCTGGTCCGGGGCAGTGACAGCACAAGTAGAACCAAGGAGATTTCTACGCTTTTTGGGAGAAGAAACGATAGAATTTGCGGGGAGGGTGTAGCTCAGTGTTAAGAGTGCATGGTTAGCACGCACAAGGTTCAGGGTTCAATCCTCAGCACCTCCTCTATATATAAATAAATAAATAAATAAATAAATAAATAAATAACCATAGTTGAGAAGGGAATGGGGTTATAAGTGACTATTTTCTCTGCAGGATGAATTTTGTGATGCACTATTATTTTATAATCAGAGCAGGAGAAAACACAATTTGAAAAGCTCTAGCTTATGAAATAAAGACATCAATCCAACTCATAAAAGATACACAATCTAGAGTTGCAAACTAGTAAAAAATTGAAATAACTAGTAGAAACCATATGGCAAGTGACTAATAAAGGTCTGATCTAAGTAAATAATGCTTTAAAATGGATGCATAAAGACCCAAAGCAGAAAGATTCATTTACCCTCACGTTTCTTTCATCAGAAGTAAATGTGTTACCAACCCAATGGTTGTCGCAAAAACCCAAATAGATTTTTATGTAACTTCTACTTAATAACATTTTGACTTCTTCAAAGATCTCAAAGGATTTTCCCATATAATAAGCTCTTCTACCCTGACCATTGGATGGTAATGATTAAGTCCTGTTTTATGGAAGAGGAATTGGTAAAGACATGTCCAGAATAACCCACTGCCCAAATATTCAAGAGCAAAATGTAGCTAGCTTTTCAGCTACTTAATTGATGACATCAAATACCCAGCATTCTGTACTTATCCAGCATTGCTTAATAATAATTTTCCAGCTAACTGAAGCCTGCATCTTTAGATATCAAGGACCCCAATTCCTACAGTTAGGACTACTCTCTTTCATCAAAGCATCCAATTACTCTGCCTTCTTAAATAGGATCTATTGAACGTAACTGAGCCTTTTAAAATCAAGGATTCTAGCTATTAAAATGAATGTCAATAATTATATACTAACTTTTTTTGCAGTGATGACTTTTTGGGTTATTTAACTGTATAATAGTTTGTATGGGAAAATGGCCTCAGATACAGTTTTTCCTTTTGCATTCCTGGATCATTATTTCTGAGTAGGTGTATGTATACACACACACACACGGACACACATGGACATAGACACGGACACATATTCATACACCATTCTGGCAAGCCTGCTTATTTTCTCACTGCCCCTTCTTAATTTCCACTTCTAGTGCACCGTGGACATAGCAACTAGTAAGCAAGTTTGTTTAAAATGTGTATAAAATAAGAATTGAAAATTTCTGAGTTTTATATACATAAAATTAACAGCTTTGGTATATGGCTAATTAGAGTCTTCTGTGGAGACATGAGATTGTTGGACAGAGAAGCCCCCAAATTAAGGGAAAGCTAAGAAACAGCGCTGTGTCAGGGACCATGTGTTTTACACCCAAACTCCTTGATTTCTGGAAAATTCCCACATTTTACCTGAAAGTACTGATCCCTTCATTCATTGGTTATAATGGGAAAAGCCATGACTGGGCATTCTGATCCCCTCCCTACTTAGGGCCAGAGACATTTGGCTCAGGCGTGGGGACATGACTGAAGCCTGGCCATTCAGTTCCTTCACTGGATATTTGAACTTGGAAGGAAAGAATGGAGGGAGAGAGAAAGAGCAGTCTCTCTTCAAGAGGCCAGACCCATCAAATGAACATTCTGAGAGCTGTCACATGAACTTGAAGGCCATAAGAAAGGTTGGAGGAGAGGCACAGAGCCGATCAGTGGTGGGAGAGGCCTGACAGCTTCCGAGAGCCTGGGTCTAGTGCCTTCCTGAGGCCCAGCTAGATCTTTGCCCTTGGGTACCATGAGGCACCTGTTTTCCTAGGGGTGACTTTCCAAATGTTTAACAATGGCACAGGAAAATAAAACTCAGGACAGGGCCAGATGGCTGGTAGACAGTTATGTAAGTCTGTGCCACTCCAGGCATTCCCCCTTTTGTTATAGAGCATAAAATCCTGAGAAATCGCCAGGGGGTGAGCTGGGTGGCTGAGTGAGAAGGCACTTGGGAGGTTTGGAGCAAGAGGAACAGAAGTATTTTACAATATAAACAACCAGCATCTCTGTGCAAGTGCAACCAGCTGACTATCAGCCCTGTCTGTAGCCTTATAATAAATGCTGCTTTTTCACTTCTCCTAGTTTGAGTGGCTTCTGCTACTAACAATTTTAAGTCCTAAAAAATATGATTTGTGCTATGTTATGGTTTGCCGTCTTATTTTGCTGACTGAATTTGATGGTAACTTCAGAAAGCCTTAGGGGCTAGAACAAACTCTGAAGTAATTTCTCCAATTTCCCACCCAAATGTACTTTTCACCCAAATAATTTATTTTCACCCAAATAATTCATCACAAGGTAGAAATAAATCTGTGCCTTTCAACTGAATAAAAGTATAAGAAATACAACCTATAAATTAAATTTTTATATTGCAATGTAACAGATGTTTGCCATAGAAAAATTTTTTAAATCTAGATGAAAAAAGCAAAAAAAAAAAAGGTCTAATCTAATCATCTAATCATTAATTTAAAAAAAATCACTGTTAACGCTTTTGTTTGGATATCCAAATTTTATGCATTTATATAATTCCTAGTTTTTGCAAGAATGGTTTTACCTGGAAATCATCTTTTACTTGATATATTATGCTCCTTCTTTCTACAAAACCCAGATTTTTAAAAATCTCTC